TGTGGTGATCCGCGTCTCCAGCGTGACACCAACTTAGCTACGGCACCAGCACTGTTGCGGGGGCTGTTTATGCGGCGCTCAACAGGTGCCATTCCGGGCGATGCTGCTCCCTTCGCACAGCAATATTCAAACCACATGGCCACATGGCACCATTTGCCCAAGAAAGAACATGTTGAGCTCCCAGTTGTCCGGAACCACAAAAACTTGAGGAACTGACGAGAGCTGTTGGAGGGTACTCATAGTACAGTTCAACCTGATCCATGGACGTTCAAACAATGAGATAGAACGTGGACCCCACGGAGACCAACCAATTTAACGAAGAAGGAAAGGCAGCAGGGCAGCACTCTCCTTCCGCGCAGCCAAGTGCAAGAAAAACTCCGCCAGCTGCCAAACCTTGGACTGAACCGCGTAGTGAAACATGTTGAACGACCCGCCTAGGCCTCCAGCTCGCGTGTTCTGCTTCATGAATCTGGGTCTGATTTGAGGTCTTTATATATATATATATACACACACACACGATTTATGGAATCTAGGCCTCGCGCATTTTGCTCTTTTGACTGTTGCTGATACAAGGGGTAGGGTAATGTCACATCAGGGGTGGTAAGTAGCATCACCGCATGGCCACGCGTGGAAGGGTAATGTGACTTTGCTGTGGCCTGTTGTGATTGCTGCGATAATGAAGCTATTTCATGAATGATGCAGCTCATTCCAACTAACTTAGAAGGTGATGTTCATGAATGACTGTGCTTAGTGTGTCGGGGTCGTTGTGATCGCTACGGAGAGGATGTTGATTGTAAGTTGTCATTGCTAGGAAGTATAAAACCAGTACAGCACTGAGATACAAACCAGCCAAATGCCAACACTCTTTGATAGGCACCCAGAAGCTTGAGTGCTTGTAGCACATGCTCGCCAACTCTGTCCGGTTCAGCGGCTAGCTGCTAGCTAGTCATGAACCTCGTGCTTGCATGTACAGCCACAATTGCACTTATTCACGCCGGTCTCTCCCAACTTCTTGAAGCCACAACACAGCATTTAGCTAGCAATTCAGAGGCAACATGCATAGGTAACAAATCTCCAGCGTCCAGGTCTCTATAGTCCGCCCTACAGGCGAAAACATGCCTCTATGTGTGTCCAAACTGTACCTGCCCCACAAACTTGTGCGTGGGAGCTGGAGCTATGTGTGTGATCATTTAAATATTATATACATATTTATAATAATATATATATATACATGTCTCCTGTGTCTCCTGTGGAGACTGCCGACTTCGTGGGTGCGTCGCGAGTGGGCCAATGAGCACTGGAAAGGCCATGGTCGTGGCAAAACAGCGAAGACATCAGGGTTGCACCGCCGCACCGCCCGCAACCGACGCCAACGTACCGTTCCCCAGGTTGATTTCACTATATATAAACCATAAACTCCCCTGTGACAATGAGTGCGGTCGCTTCTGTTGAAGGCTGTAGCGACATGGCACAGTGTTAAGACGTGGTGGAGACAAGACCCCACTCTGATGGCCAGTCAAGCTCTTCTCTGATGAGGAACGGTACATGTTTGGGGCTGGCTTTCTGCTAGATGGGAGCACCGCAAGACCCGAAAGCCCTTTTCGCAGTCAAAGCACAGTGTCACCGCAAGCCGCACAAAGACCACATCCCATTTCCTGGAGTCTCTAATGTAGTTGCTTGCCAAGCAAGCTGCAGTGAGTCGTAAAGGACTTCTTACGTGCATATGTCATGTCATATTTCCATGCTCAAGCTTCATGTTGTGGCCAAGGGTCCTTCGATGCTGTTGTGCATCTGAAGGCTAAGAGTCCAAGTGTATCCATCACAGTCCTTAGGGTGTTGTTAGAAAGCACAATGCCGGCGCTCACAGGACTGAACGCGACGATCCGAGAAAGTAACTAAGACTGCATGACGACAGATTGCAAGCACTTGCAACATAAGAAATCAACAAATAAGATACACAAACAGTTATATAACATAACAACATCTTACAAGATGTTGCAAGTACATACAAGTACCGTGTTGAGTGCTAAGAAAACTGCGAGCTTGTGGCGTTTAATTTCGCCTATTGCGAATGTGTGGCGGAGCAGAAACATCGAAGTCCAAAGCATCCAGAACCTGCAAGGTGATCAAGAGATGTTGCTTGCACTGAAGCAATCAATTGCTGACCGGAACTTGCCCACCTTGGCATGCGGGTGAAGCGATTCCAGGAACAGGTCAAACGTGCAAAAACATGCAAACACAGAAAATAGCTCTGGCCTCTCGCTCCTTTTGGAAAATCTGTTTGATTGGGACATTGTACTGACCTGAACAAGTGGTCATGATGTTGGTACATGTTGGTTTGAGTTTGTTAAATGCACTGCCTAAGTGTACAAGAACATCCCGCAAAGGCACTGGAACCTGAAAGTGAAAACAACACAGAAAAAAACTGAGATTGACTGGGCTCATCAAGTCTGCTTGAGTCCAAGTCCACACTGCCGAGAATGGAATCATTGCATAATATTTCATCTCTTCAGCCTGTCCCGTGGTTGGCAGGGTGACGCAACACCGCTCTGGCCTGGCCTCGCCCAGCCCGTGTAATTTCAAGGCAGTGCATGTCACGGCCAATGTTACAACCTCGCGGAGCCATGCGGTAGAGCTGTATCACTCCGTCTCACAAACAATTGGGCTAGCCAATGTCTCAGAGTCTCTGAACTGAGGAGTTGACCTGCATTTGCTCAAGGGGAATAGCTGTGTGCAAGGTTTCCAAGTAGCGGTCTAACAACGATATGGCTGCAAATGCCACAACCTCACATGCAGCTTTGTGCAAACCCCCAAGCAACCTCGTACTGTGAAGAGCCTCTGGAAAGCTCATCGCTTGACATGTTTGGAGTAGCCAATCCACTGCAAGTGCCTCAAGGATATCAAAACACTGAGCTGGGCTCCAATGTCTTCAAGTCTAGAACATTCACTGAAGACCCCCGCCCGCTCGACCGCTCCAATCCTGCAAAGAATGCTTCTGGCTGATGGGCGAAACCTCGCAAACAAAAGCAAGGCGCAACTCTCCGCGCAACCCACCACAAGAAATACCAAACCACAAAGCCAAAAATAGACTTGAGACACAATCACAAAACGTCCCAAAATAACATTTGCAAAAGAACAACAAGGAAGCAGCGCCTCTCAGCTGCAAAGAGCCAGTCCATGGATTTGGTGGAACGAGTGTTTCTCCCAATTTGATTGTGTGGTTCAACTGGCTCCTGGAGACAGGTTTTGCTCAATCGGAACAGTTGTAAAAGAGGAGGTTCAAAGAGTCTGGTCAATCGTTTCTCCAGCGTCGCTACTTTTCCAAAACAATAAATGCCACCAGCAGCATCAATTGTTTCTCATTGTTTCTCGTTGTTGCTCAAGTGTCAGGTTTTGCAGAAAATTCCCCGAGTCCATAACAAGACTCCATGGTATACGACAACCACTCTCAGCCCAATTCCACTGACTGCCACATGAGTTGCCTTGGAGGTATCTTGCAGCTCTTCGCAAATACAACCACAATCAGAATGGACCTCCAGCCAATGCAGAGATGTGTCAGAACGTGTCAGCAATACTTCAGCTGGGTCGGCCCGTCTTTGTGATCTTGTGGCTATCGTTTGTTGAAACAAACAAACGTCGCAAACGTCCATCTACTAATTAAAACAAATCTAGTACTGTATGTCAAGCAAGGCAAACATGTGCAAACAACCCTCTTTGGGTTTGGCTGGCCAATCAGAAGTTGTGGGAGTTTGGCATAGCCACCTGGACAACAGTGTAATGCTGAGTGCACGGCACAAAGATGCTGCGAATGACTTAATTCTGCTGATCTTGAGTTGAGTCTGACCTCCTCGTGGGACTCGGTGATCCCAACGCTCTGCCCTCTGGACGTTGTCCTCTGGAGTCTGTGTCCTTCCAAAGTCACCAACTTAGAGTATCACAGTCCGGCAGGCAAGCGGCGTTGCGGAAGCAAGGCAGCTGTTTAGCCCTGTGAGTCAAGGGCGTTCTGGATAACATGCATAGTTCTTCTCATACCTGCCAACCTAGTCATGCTAACATGCTCTTCGTCCATGGCAATTTGACACAGTACAGTATATTGTTTGGGGCACCCAAGACCTGTTGTGCGTTCAGTCCTGCTTGGGATGCTCATCACCGCAATCGTCACTGCCCGCTGAAGCAAGCAACTCAGACTGTCTGATTCGACTTGGCCAAACGCGCCTTCCTAATTGAGGAGCTTGCGGAGTGGTATCGGAGCATGCTGGGCACAAACCCTGGCAACTTGGAACTGTACGGTGGGAATGCGCGGCAATTTCACTGTCACCGACATCGATACCTCGCAAAGCCGCTTGTAGAAAGGACAGCTCGCCACCCCGAGGACCGTGACCACATGGAGCTTGGTCACTCGGGTCACTCCCGTTATCCAAAAATTGGTCAGGTGGATGGAAATCATCAGGTGGATGACAATCAGGAAACAACTGCTGCAAGTACTCAAGGTTTGCAGGGCCTCGCTTGAGATCTCTCCAAAGAGTGTAGAGCCTCTGGGAACAGTCTTCAATCAAACGGTTCCTGCCAAGTTCTTCCTTTGGCTGTTGCAGCTTTAACTCCCTTCGTGGTTCGATATTTGTGATCTCTCCCAGCACTCGGCGCATTTCTCAAATGCAACATGGAGCGGTTTCAGGAACAAAACATGCGTAACTACAGTAAAGTGAGCTACGCAACAGAATTCTGTGTGTACTACCATAAATTCTAAATATGGCCTTTGGTGTTTGTTCACCTAAAAAAGCCAAAAGGCTGCAGAGTGTCCCAAATAGACTAGACGGGCAAAACACATTGGATATATGATGTACAGTGCGCACACTGTATATGTAAGGATGAACAGTAAGAATTCGAGGGCTGGAATCCAGCCAATGGCCCTTGTCATATTGGCAAACATCAGGAACAAATCTGTTTTTGATCGAAACTTGTTTCGAAAACCAAGGTTGCTTCGCTCAGCAAGCCTTTTACAACAAACAATCGGCGCTTCAAGTTACGCATACGCCAGAGTTACTTCACCTGAATGAGCTGCAAGTTCAGGGCAACAAAGGCTTGCACGCACCAACCTGTCCACACGTGGTGGGCACAAAACGACCCTACTTTGAACTGATCTGAAAAGTTTCAACACCTGGAATATGTTGTAAAACCCAATTGCTCAAAGCAATCAGACAGGGTGGCCCGAAAGCGCCGCGGGAGCAAGGATGTAAGAAAGAACTCAAAAACATATAGCAAGTGCGACAATGACTGATGCAACGGTGTGATGTTTGATCGAGCGACGTTGATGTTGCAATTCCATGATGGTGGTATATGGTGGCACTGTGAGAATGCACAAGATCATTGCGATGAACTGACGTCTGATGGTGTGATAATGATGTACAATGGTTTTGTTGCGGAGGAAGAAAATGGCTGTGGGTCAAAACCATTGAGTACCACGACTTGCGATCACATCTGCGAGCTACCTTCACATCCCTTGGTACACTGTGGTACGGGTTTGAAGGAGGTGAAATGTTGAATGTGGTTGAGGTGAATACAAAAAGGTGTGTTTACGTTGGTAGTGACAACTCAAAATTTCACGCGAATAAAAAGGGGTGAAAAAGCAATGAACCGGCAGTTTTATCTGTACCGTATATTCCAGATTCCGAATTAGGACAAACAGGACTCAATGACATGTAGACTTATGCATCTAATTAACGAATGGATCAGGGATTGCATCGTAAGGTTTTTTCTTCCTACGTGCATCCCATAGTTTCCACTTGAGCTTGTACCTTTCTAAGTAATGTCAACCTGTGATTTGTCAACTTATCATGAATAAAACTAAGCAAATCCCAAAACAAATTTATAAACACACCCTAAATAAAACTAAATGTTTTTGTCACTGGACCTAGATATGGCCTTTAGCAAATTGTCCATTAGCTTCGTTTATATAAATAGTGTTAGTGCGTTTCAATTCCTTATTAACTGGTTCCTTCTTTGGATTCCTTCTTACATCCTTCCCTCTTGATTTCATCAATTGGACTCACCAAACTTCAACACCTTCGGATCAAAATTCTTTATAAATTCCATATTCAAAACTCACCAGCAATTGATCAAAATCAGTCTGGAAAGGGTACCCCCTTGAAGCCACAATACCCTAATTAAAGTGTACCCTAAATAAAACTAAAGATTCTTGGGTGCAGATTTTTCCACAATACACATGATCTTTTTGTCTCAATTCCTGCACTTTGCTGCAGCTGGTGTTCCTGCTGTGCTGGATTCCTAGTTTCTAAATCTAATTTCTATCCATGTAGTTCCCAAAAAGCAAGGCCAATACTACCAATACTAAACACAATTTAAGTCTATTTGAGGTCACTCGGGGGGGAGGCCTATTGATAAATCAGAGGTGGACATCAGCGCATATCTCGTTTGAGCGGCACTTAAATTATTGGATTTCTATGATCTGGCATTAATTGGTGCATCTGTATGACATGGTGGATTTTGATTCGAATCGATCTGATATTGGAAGATGGCATGCGTTGCTTCCTGCGCTTTCGGAATGATAGGTCGAAATGGCAGTCCTCCACATATTCGCACCGCTTCGCGGTGGAAGCCGCCCGCAAGGAAACCTGTGCTCTCGCAGCCGGCCGGGAAGGGTGTAAATGTAGCAGTAGCAGGGGGGTGAGGGAAGCAGCAGCTTGTGCTCGCGGAGCCGGGAGGAAGCGGAGTTAACCGGGCTCAAGCACGAAGAAGTGCAGAGTGAGGAAAACACGGCGAAGGAAACACCGCCAAAGTTGGGGTAGTACTGGTTAGTGTTGCAGAATACCCCACAAAAGCTGTCCACGACCACCACACACGAACGATATCAATCTCCAGAGGCCATCGCTATTAGGTTGGAGGCCATCGTTAGGTTCTGTCGAGCAAACAGCCTGGACGAACACACGTCCACGATGTCGATAACGCAGTGTCCCCCGCACTGCGTAACCGGCATCGCGAATGTTTGCTTCCGGAGCCATACGGAAAATCATACACGCGATATCAGTTTTTATCAAACAAACTTAAACACACACACACAGAGAAAGACTCCATTTCCTAAACACCAAAGGCCCCTCCCCAAACTAAAGCTGAAGCTGTTATCTGGCACTGGTCTTCCAGCCTACGCGAGCCGACACAACAGATTTTTCTTTTGAAGCCTGGCCTGGCCTGATCTTTCCATGCTTTTGGCATCCTGTTTCTTACAGCGTGGGACAAGATCATACAGTACTGTAAATGCAACAATGCACGACCACACGCCCACAATCGAGAAATTCGCACGCGGCTGAAGCGGCTAATCAACCCATATGGGAAGACAGGCAACTATATAACGCAGGGGAACCATCTAGAAATGAAAGATTAAAAACAAGATCTTGATCCAATACGCAACTGCAGGATCAAGGTTCGCCCGCGTGACTGCAAAGCACAACAGGTTGTAAAGGCCAATAATAGTCTTGTTCGAGTTATTAGTACCATGGAAAGTCAGCGCGAAGCAGGCAGGCGCACGAAGCAGTCTTCACGGTGCTCTGCCCGGCCCGCTTGTGACAAACAAGGTACAATGAGAATCAAATCTGCCTTTGTGTGCACACGCACGCGCAGTTGTTATTCCCAGCCCTGCGGCGAGGCATCAATTGCGCCACGCTGCGTACTAAACGCAACAACGCGACCATCCTCGTGCGCGCAACTTCAAAGCCCTGGCCCTCCCCAAAACATAAAGGGCCAGCGAGATCACCGGCATAAACAAACACTTGATGTAACAAAAAGGCCCAACATCATCCAACATCCACGATTCCTGTGTAGAGGTTTGCCCATGGTAGATGTCAACAGGTGTCTCACTGCAGCTCCCAGTCCCATCCGACGCACTATCTCCGTACAGGGTCACATTTAGCCAACCCATGTGCTTGCATCTCTGCACTTTGAGTTGCCATGATGATGCTGCTGCTGATGATGATGACAATGAAGACGTCGACTTGCATGATGATGACAAGACGATGACTTGGCGATGTTGATGCTGCTGTTGAATAACGCTGATGACAGTGATGGTGACCTTCGCAGGAACCCTCGGGAAAAAACGGGCCTCTGATCGAAGTTCAGCATTGCGACTCTCCAACTGGGCAGCAAGACATGTCGAAAAGGGTTTCTGGATCTTCTTTTCGCACTCTATGCCTTCTGCAACATGCACTCCTGCTGCTGTATTTCTTCCACCACAGCCTGCTGAACAGTACTGAAACCTTTTGGCATCACTCAACTTCACCTGACATGCTGTGGGTGGCCTCTGAATCTGCTTCATCTTGCACCAGGTCTTCACACGCCTCTTCATCAGCGCTCAATATTTGCAAGCAAACACGCGTCAAAGGGCAATCGCAATTTAGTGCTTGAGCCATCAAATAACACTTGCGGGTGGGGTGGTCTGTTGTTCTCTCGTCGGCATCTTCCCCCTGAAGCGCCCTCAAGTCAGTTTGCGCTGAGCAAAAATTGATACAGTAAGAATGGGCGCAATCGAGGCTGTCAGAACTGTCAGGGCCATGGCCTCCTGCTCTTGACGAGAAATGAGATGTGCATCAGTAGCATCCACCAAGGTGAGAACGTTTACCTTGGTCAGCATCAGTGCCAATTCAAGCTAAGACAGTACAGTAGCACGGCCTACCACAAGGGGATGGTGCTACGATACACACAAAGGAAAGAGCTTAGTAACTTAGTAGATGTTGGAAAAATGAGGATAACAGGAGGACAAGGTTCGGAGATTGGCTAACAGCCGCGGCACAGCTGGTGTCAACAAGGGGGCAACAGGAGGACAAGAAGAGGACAGGGAGACGACAAAAAGATCCAACAAAAGGACAAGGACTGGAGACGGCTACACCCGCCCCAAGCTTGAAGAAGGACCAGAAGAGAGCAACAGGTGGACAAGAAGAGGACAACAAGAAAACAAGCTGATAAAACAAAAAACACATGACAGCAGGAGGACAACGCCCGGGCACAGAGTTTACCGGCGTGGCCAGAGACTGTGGTCAGCTTCTTTTTTCCTAAGAGAGAGCCCCAACACTAAAACATAGTAAAACTGGTGGGGAGTGGTTATTAATCCGGTCTATGCATTAAGAACAATTTGACCTACAGGAGTATCCCTTCGCACATGCCCTGCGGACTCCCTTTTTTCCGGTCCGCAACGATGGCGTCATGCAAGCAGCCCACAACGGCGTACTCGCTCTGGCAGTGTGCACGCAGTGGCACTGTGCATGCAGTGGCTTCTTCTTTTGCTTTTCATCCGTGGTTCCCAGCAACGCACCGAAGTCCAAGAGCACAGCCGATGCGTCACCGACTCACCACATCCTTTTCTTCCACACAGTGCAAAGAGTCCTGCGCGGTAGCAGCTGTTTACGCGGCTCTCAACGACGGACATAGGAGCATTTCCCGGCTGTCTGCGCGGTCCACAGCGACGCACGCAGACCGATGCCTCTCAGCAAGACCAAGAAACGGTTCACCCAGCACCTCCGGCAGGGACTGGACGACAACTCATCCACCAGAAACCGTCGTTCCGCAGAAGCTTGACTGGCCAGGTTCGGAGCCATC